GGGGGCTGTTGAACCCTCCTGAGGGGCTCTCTCCTCTGCCCCTCCCTGGCAGCACCCTGGGGCGGTGTCAGGCTGCTCCTGATGGACGTTGCTGTGAAAACGAATCTGGGGGCCACGTGGTCTCTGCCTCCCCGAACGCCATGGAGACCCTCTGGGGCTGGGGATGCTCTTGCGGGGGGGAGGAGGGGCTCCCGGCTGGCCCCCTCCCCCATGGCCCATCTGCCCCAGAGATGCAGCAGGAGCTGAAGGAAGTAGGCAAGGAGCAATCTAAGGTGGAAGCGGAACTTCCAGCCAACGTTTCCAAGAACCGATACCCCCACGTGCTGCCCTGTGAGTTGAGGGGCCTAGCCCCCCCCGTCTCCCTCCCTCTCCTCTTGGCCTTCCCTGCTCCTCCCCCCCAGCAGGTGAGTCTGGCAGGGCGTGCTCTGGCCTTCCCTGGCATCTCACATCCCAGGATCATGGGGGACACTAGCCAAACTCAGGGGCCAAGGCACCAAAAGCTTCAGGAGACATTTCCAGGGTGGCCTGTGTGGGAGGCAGTCTGGCCTATTGGATAGAGTAGGGTCCCAGTGTCTCCCGTGCCTCAGTTTCCCCCTCCGTAACTTGAGGCTAATGGCGGTGAAACGGCCTGGCTAACAGACAGGGGTTCTCAGAGTGGGTGACAGTTTGAGACCCCCTCCCCCTCCTGGCCCAGGCCTGGGTTTTCAGACGTGCCGAGCCCCTTTGGCCTGCTGGAGATGTGGGTGCTGAGAATCAGACCCCTTTCCAGCGCCTCTCGCGGGGCACCTCAGGGACTGATCTCGGACAGCCGGCCCCCAGTTCCCTGGTCTGCTGAGCCAAACTCCTCCCTCCATCAGTGTTGCCCCTGCATGATTCCTGCAGGGGGGGGGGCCCAGGGCAAACTCCCCCCTCCCTGCCCCAGGAGAGGCTGAGGACACACCCCCAGGCCAGAGCCGGCTTCCCTCTCACCCAGGGTGCCTGGCTCCAGCGGAGATTTAAAGGGACAGAGAGAGAGAGAGAGAGAGAGAGAGAGAGAGATCAGCAGTCCTGGATTCATCCCATCTGATGAAGTGTCGCACATAGAGTCCCAGGGCTGGCAGAGACCTCAGGAAATCGAGTCCAGCCCCCTGCCCAAAGCAGGACCAACCCCAACTCCATCAACCCAACCAGGGTGGGTTGGGACTGAAAATCCTCTAGACTCCGTCTAGACTGCCAGCCTCTTTCGAAAGAGGGCGTCTAGACTCCAAGCAGCTTTTTTGAACAAGCGAGCAGCTTTTCCGAAAGAGTCTCTCGAAAAGGGGCGTTATTCCTCGTAAAAGGAGGTTGACCACGATCGAAAAAACCGCCACGTTCTTTCGATTTACTTTTGAAAGAACGCAGCTGCTGTCTAGATGCAGGTGACGGTTTTTTTCCGAAAAAAGGCTACTTTTCCTGAAAAATCCCTGTTGTCTAGACACACCCCTATGGATGGAGATTCCACCGCCTCCCTAGGGAACCCATCCCAGGGCTTCCCCACCCGCCTAGGGAAATAGTTTTTCCTAATCGCCAACCTGGACCCCCCTTGCTGTAACTCCCCCAAAGCCTTTTTCAGCCTCTCCAGGTTGCGAGCCCATTTCCATGAGCGTAGGCGCACGGCCTGTGGATGTCCCAGGGCGGGATGTGGGGTGTCATCTTTGCCGCCCCCCGGAGCCGGGCGAAGCTCCGCAGTGTATCCCAGAACAGTCTCCCTTCCCCCGTGGATTTCTCCACCCGTTGGCTGCTTTCTGAAACCCTTCCGACCCTTCGCCTGCGTTCAGCGTAGACAGCTGACGGGGGCCCGCTGCGGATGAGACGAGACGTAATTTACGTTTCAGCCGTGCGGCAGGGGGGCGC